CCCCCATTTCTTCCATTTATGCGTGCAACAGACAAGCCGGGTGGGTTGGTACCGGATCGCTCGACTTTGTGACAACATTCAACGGACTTTCTGCGTCTGCGGGGATTCAAGGAATGATCAATGCAAAGTTTTTGAAGTGGGACGAGGATTACACTTGGAACTTCCCTATGGCTCTTGTCACTGGTATTTTCATTCCACCTTTGACGATGGAAATTGGCGGGTTACTCAACTTCGAGTGCAAACAGTCAAAGTACAAAGCATCTGTTGAGTTCAAGACGATGTCCATGTGGTCTTCGTCCAACTTCAGACAAATTGCTGGAACAATTAAAGACCCCGAAGGGAATGTCATCTATGAGATTAGTGGAAGATACGACCAAGAACTCTTCATCACTGATAAGAGAACAAAAGAAAAGAAGAGCTTCTTTAAGATCGAGGAACTCAAGGATACAAAGGAACACAGACTTGTCAGGGAATTTGAGAAGTTACACCCATTTGAATCGGAGAAACTCTTCAAGAAGGTATCGGACGCCATCATTAAGAACGATCAAACCCTTGCAATGGAAGAGAAATTTACGTTGGAAGAGGCCCAACGAGCGGAGAGAAAGCTTGTTGTCGACAATAAAGAAGAGCACGTCCGAAGACTCTTTGACTTCAAGGACAAACAGTGGCGCTACAAATGGGAGAATTGGGAGAAATACGATGCAGAGAAAGATGGGGAAGAGATAGAAGTTGGCGGGAAGTTAGTGACATTAAAGAAAGGGGAAGTGTTAACAGAGGAACGTATTCAAGAACTGTTGAGTGATGTTGCATACCCTGAGTGGAAAGAGGGAGAAGAACCGCCACACATGTTAAGAAGTTTCAAGTACATGGTGACGAAGCCTGAGGAGACGAAAGAGAGTATCCCCGAGGAAAAGGGTGAAGAGAAGAAAGAAGAGAAAAAGGAGGAAGCCAAAGTAGAAAAAGAAGAAGAAGCGGCCAAACAAACAGTTGTAGCAACCGCATGAAGTTGTGTATTAGGCGTGACAATTTATTTTAAATTACTTTTTAGAGTTTTGTTCAAAATAATGAATTGAAAAAGAGGAAGAAATCACTCAATTCTTAAAAGAAACATCTTGTCCCAATACTTCCCCGTCACAAGAATTTGGTTTTGAGAGATCGTTGCAATGCCATTCATAACTTCTTCGTTGCCAGTTCGCTTTACATTACACCAGATCTCACCATCGACGGTACCTGTTGTTGGATCGACTACGACTATTTTGTCTTCATAATACACATTGATGTAAAAGTGCTTGTCAAAGTATGACAAGTCATTCAACTGTGACACATAGTTATTGCCACGACGAACGAAAAATTCGGAAATAAGTGCAACACCACTCGGAGTGACTGCAATACGACGAATCTTGTTAGTACCATCTGTCACATAAAGTGCAGAGGAATTGATGGATGTTGCACCCCACCCATGATATGGATAGGTCATCTTCCGCTCGATCTCAAGAGTCTTGTGGTTGAAGAGAAAGATCTCGTGTTCTCGCCACGTCAACATGACAACAGTGCCATTTGTTGCTGCTATGCCTTCACTGAAATATTTGTCTTCTATACGCTTCGAAGAGAGGAGTTCCATCTCTGGATATTTGTATTTCGAAAACGCAGAGTTATTATATTGCCCACACGACTCATAAAGAATATCGTCTTGTAAAAAGATGCCTTGTGTGTAACACTTCTTTTCATGGAACAACGCTTTCTCTATTGTTATTTGCTTTTTCTCTGTGGAGTATGGAATGTACATACACTTCTTGAGTTCAACACTCAGAACAAAGGGAAATACAACGCAAAGAAATACTGATGTGAAGGCAACCATAGTTCACTAACAATGCCCTTCCTTTTTAAGTTCTTTGTTTCAAGTTAATTCAAATCTTCAAAATAAGAATACATTCAATTCAAACTCAATACCTTACACAAGCTGTATCGATATTATTGTCGTCGTAAACGAGTTTAACGACTGCTTTGCACTGTCATACAGCACTGATACAACTTTAATCGCTTCTTCCCTTCACATCAATTTACTATAAATTATAATAAATATACTATAAATATATTATACCTATTGTCGTTATAAAGTTTGTAGATAACAAAAGTGGAATGAACAAACTGAAGCACTTTGAGATTCACCGAGATGTTGGCACCAACTAACGCAACCTGGGACTTTTCCATAAAGTTCAAAAGGACTTTGAGGAGTGAGTTGTAGTCCTTCCCGTGTAACACCAAGAGTAATACTGTTTGGACAATTGAGATATCAAATTTGATGTAACACGCCAAAGTCTCAAGAGCGGCGCATGCCTTCATATTGTCGCGTTGCAGTCCGTACAACAGTTTAGGTACCAACATGTTCAAAATCACGTCTTTGATCAAATTGTAGTGTTGATTACAATACTGGTAATGACTCACTATGAAATCAAAGACAGCGTCATGAAGTTCAGCTGATGATGAGAGCATTACCGTTGCGATGACATTATTAAACACCTTTTCCACAATGATTTCCGAATTTCTGAATTGGATGAGTTGTGAGCAACACTCGATATATGGGACACAAATGAGTTCCAGTGGAATAGACTTGATGTCTTCAAAGACAACTTCAATCAACACAACTCGCACTTCATTTCTCGTCACTGTCATTGCCAAAAATGAGATGATCAAGTTCATGAGTGGTTGCGTGACTTCGATACTTCGACTCTCTTTCTTCGCAATTGCACTAATACGGATGTAATAGTATTTCAACAAATCAACCACCGTCAAAAATGCAGGGAAGTTTGTGTTGCCGCACTTCGGTATTAAGTGACAAACGGTTATTAAATGCGACAGAATCTGCATCACCCCAAATTCGTTGATATCATCTTGACAATACATTTTACTCTCCTTCAACCCAGTAATCCCTTGTTCACTAATCACACCTATGTAATCATAGTACATCGGATCATTCGTTTCAAACTCCCGCGATATCGTCGCCAACCCATCGTAAAACCCTCCTCGAAGGACTCCAGACAACTTACTCCCAGACGTATGTCCTCTATATATCACATTCAGACATTTGGGGTCTTTCACAATCGCCTCACCACAGTACTTCGCTATTTCCACAAACGTCCCAACTGCTATGACTTCTATCTCAAGCCGGGGGTCTTCACAAAATTCAAAGATCTTCTTTAAAACAATTTCTAGTATCTGTGGCTTGTGTTTAAGGAAGCGCGGGTATTTCGAGACAAGCATCATCACGTCTTTCGCTATTGTCGTGCGTAGTGGGGTGTCGGGCAACTCACTAAAAAGGGTGAGCAAATACGTGAGACTTTTTACAAACAAAAAGGCCTCCGTCTTGTATGGGATCTTCGTCGCAACTCCACTGATCGCCCAAATGGTTTTTGTGAGCAACGCGCCGTTCACCTTCTTGTCTGCACCTAAACAACTCGAAAGAATTTCTATGAGTCGTTCGCCACATCCCGTCTCACATAAGACAACTAACAACTCCACGTATTCCCCATACCCAACACCTCCAACTTCAACATTCTCGAAAAATCCAAAATCGTCAACTACAAAGTATCCATTCGGAGGTTCTGGTATCATTTGAATCACCTTTTGAAGTAACAAATAGTGGTGTGAAGTCGTTGTGAGTGGATTTGATGTGATATATCTCTTGAAATACTTCATTGCTCCGTGTGTCCCAAAACACGTCAGCATCAAATTAAAAAGATTCGGCGGGGCAGAGACCTCCGGCAGAATCGAGTTGAGGCAATTTGCCAATTCGATGGAGGGTTTGAATTGATAATTGAATTTTTCAAACTGTTCTACAAGCACTTGTTTCATTGCTTGAGTGTGTAAAACAATTTTAGAAAACGCCTCTGATAACATTGCAAGCGTTTCTCTTTCATATGCCTGCAGATATGGTAAAACAAGTTGTGAGATATTTAACACTTGTTGGAGTGTTAGATTCGACATCGACTTCTCGAGTAATTTTAAGACAACGACGGGGAATACTTGTATATGTGTAATTGAGTATGTGGCGATATCCGATGACGCATTTGCAAAGAATTGAGGATCGTTGTAATAGAAAGACAGTAACGTTTTGAGGACAAAAACTGTTGGAATAGTTCCGTTTTGAATCACACCACGAATGACAGAGACATCCTTTCTTAGTATTACGGAGTACGTGAAAATGTCAATAATTTTGTCGGTCAAGATATTGTCCATTTGTTGTGTGATCGCGCAGTACCAACGTTCTATTGATTGATAAAGTTTGAGTTTCCACTGTTCTGGGTAGTACAAAAATTCCTTTGAATGAAGAGTCGTTGCGATAATATTAAAAGCAAACAAATGAGTCAACTGATTGGACGACTTCGACAGGATTTCATAGACAGAACGAATCCCATTCTTTGTTGAGGCAAATTTCGAGAGTATTTGTTGTGATTCGTTTATTTGTTCGTTCGTTCCAATGACGGAGTAATGAACCAATTGATCAATCAAGTGGACGTTAGGTGGGTAAGACAGTTCTTGCATTGTTTTCTTATCTCTTTTTTTTAGTTTCTTTTAACTAGTTGTAATAACTATATAAAACAATAGAATATTGAACTATTGTTATACCATTACTGTTAATAAGTAAATGGATTGGTAAATAAACTATTAAGTATTAGTTAATTACAATTACTATATGATTAATTAAGACTTACTATAATAACAATAACAAAGAAATGAAACACCTCGAAAATAAATGAATTAGTGTTTCTCCTCGTCATCTTGTCCTGCGAAGAAACTGAAGAAGATACCAACAATCGACACGACAACAGTGATGAAGCAGAAGATTGCGACAATCAACCCGAATATACCTTCATATGAGTATTTTTATATAAAACATATATTGAAATACAAACCCGTCATGAAGAGACACACAACACCATGAATGAAAAACCAGGGAATAACTACATATGGTGAGAAGAAGCTTCCAAATCTACGGATGACTGGGAATGGGATGTATCCCAAAAACGGTGAAAGGAGTGTGCAAAGACCAGAGAGTAACATAATCAACGCAACAATCGAGCATACGATCGCGCCTTGTGTATTTACTCCTGAAATCTTGAACGAGCCAAATCCGTTGCAACACAAGTGGATTAATCCGGTCAAGAAAATCACTTCAAGTGAGGACTATGACTTTATTTATATTAAAAAAAGAACAAACAAAGACCAATAAAAGCAACCCAGATTCTGAAAAACAGTGAGACGTTAAGGACGATCATCTTATTGATTTTTGAGTTAGAAAGACGTTTTGTAGGACGATATTTCAGATTGATTTGTCTTTGTGGTTTAGAGAGGTACTTAGAAATGCCTACTGGTCGGGATTTTAGGGAATGGTGTATCGTTTTTTTTGTATTTTCAATTCGTGTTTTCGCTGTCGCTTTTTCATTGGAATATAATATAAGATACTATCTATTTCTTTTATTATAAAGTACTACTATTTTATTATAAATGAACATGTATTATGATTAATTATAATCTAATAATTTATATTAAAAAATTTTAGTTAATTAATATATATATTATTAATAATTTATAATTGTATTATATTTTTTATTAAATAAATATTATTATGAATTGATATATTAATTAATTTATATAAAGTAATATTTAATTATAAATATATAATTAAATAATTATATATACAAATTAGAGGTGTTATTATTTATATATAATTATTTTTAATAAACAATAATATTCTAATTTAATTATATATTTTACTAATCAATGAAGTAAAAAGAACTATAACTTTGATAATAGTTGAATTGTAATGGAAACAGAACCAAGTGACCAAAGTTTGGAACTTCTAAACGATCCGACTATAAAAGAAGTCACAAGAGAAGCCTTTGTAACAGTTTCGTCATCAAGAATTGGGTATGGTCTAAGTAACATTTTCGACAATGATAAAACCACATTTTGGCAGAGCAATGGAAACGTCCCACACACCATCACTTTTTTATTCGACGAAATCAAAAATTTTGCTGTTTGTTCTATTGATGTACAAAGAAAAACACATGACAAAGTAGTTTGTTCGGGTGTACATATCACATTCCCAAGACGAGACCTACACGCCGACAAAACTCATATTAAAAATTGGTGTTTCGATGTATGACATGATCGACAATGTGTGGTTTGAATCTGAAAATCCTGAAGGGTGGTGTTACCTAACTCGGAATCCCAAAGTGAAGTGTCGAGGGTCATGTCTTCAATTGGTTATAACAGAAAATAGTAACGGTGGAAGAGATTCACACATCAGACAAATAGAAGTCTACGCCTTCGATGAGTCAAATCTGTTTTCCATTAAGTCAAATGCTTTTTCTTGTTGTGCCTTATAATGTCCAAAACTGTTCGAGAGAAGAATAAAAAATATTGAATGTAAATTTAAAATTTATTGTGATCGCACCTCGAAGAAGATGTACGGTAGCAGTGCGCCGCAGAGGACAACCCAAACAAACACAGGCAATCCAAATACAAAGAATTCCCACATCGTGTACTTCGCCTTACGACATACTATTAGATGCGTCGAATACCCTATTTCCATTAAGAAGCAACTCGAAGAAGCAATCATCATGGTGTACATTGCCGATTTGATTCCGATAATAGCACCATGTGGTGATGAGTCGTTGATACCGTAATACATGTTCCATACCACCGGGAACATGATATCGACAATCATCGTATTTGCAAGGGGCTGCGCAAGTAATAATGTGGGAACAAAGATGCCAAGCAAGACCCCAAATTTGCCTAACGGGTACAACCACTTCGTTGCACTGAGCACAAGCAACGTGCCAACACTACTCTTGTCGATCGCAGAACTCACTCCAAAAGACGCACCAAGCACACACAATACTTGTACATCAATAGACCCGTACAACTCTTTCACTGTTAAACACCCACTTAATATCAATACTAATACACCTACAAAGCCTGAAATTGCTAAAGAAGTCACTTTGAACGCTTCGAGAATGCACGGAATAACCAGACACAATATCGGAAACAGAATCTTCAACAAGTTTGTCGGAGCTGGCAATTGAATTCCGATATCAGTCACGATATGAAAAGTGTCGCTTTGCAGTTCTTGATCACTCTTAGCCAAAAGAATGTATGTCGATGTTGCAGATAAAATATCGATTGTTTTGATCTCATTTTCCCAATTTTCTTCGTTGATTGACACGCCCAATACACTGACATTCAATTCAAATAATGTATCGATTTTTTGACCAATCAGTGGGTCGGCCGGGTTCAGTGAGACTTCATACACTTTGGTACTTTCCAAATCTTGGATTGTTGGGTCTTCTGGAACAATACCGTTGTACGTTAGCACGTCGTTCAATATCCGTGAAGGAGCAGTGTAACACAAAATGTCATTCGCTTGTACAATCAAGTCTTCTGTGACTTCTTCATATGTCGCTCCTCTTCTTATTGTTCTCAACACGCCACAAGGTGGTTTGATCAAGACCGTCCTCCCAATAGGGAGTCCAACAAATCGGGACATTTCTGTCACTCTGAACGAGAAGTAATATACTTTACTTTCAGTTAATATTATTGTATGGCTGCGTCACATAAAAATGCAACAAACTTAGTGATATGCGTTGTCAAATCCTTCCTCTTTGGCAGCATCCGGTCTGCAAAAATTGAATATATGAGGGCTGGAATAGCGATGATACACGTTGCCATTGATATTTCGAAAATAGGCATTTTTATGTCGAGATGTACTCCTTTCTTTGCAAGTTCATTGACCTTCTCCAACAACAATTTTCTCGCTCGATGGAACGATGAGTTTCCAAGCACTGAATTCATCCCACCCAATATCGCTGCAAAAGAAATTGGAAGGACGACTTTACTGAGTGGAATGCCGGAAGTCTTTTTGAATGAATTGACGACAGACATCCCAAGCATTACAACGGGCATATTGTCAATCACAACAGACAACAAGGCCACAATAGTGACAAGTAATAACAGTGATGGCCACACGCGTGTTTGGTATGTTTCTGGAAGCACATGTCTTGTGATGAATTCCAACGACCTATTCTTCACAATGGCCTCCGAGAGAATATACGAGACGATCAATGTAATGAACGACTTGTCCGCAAAACCGGAAAACCCTTGCGCCGGTGTGATGACATTACACGATATGAGAAATCCGACAATTGCCATCATAACAACGCCCGGGTGGTACAACTCGCTCAATATGATGGTCATCATAACTCCAATTGACAACAACGTTAGCAACGTTTTCCATGATACTCCGTCGATTGCCTCTTTCTTCCAGTCTCCGTAATATATCGCAAATGAAAATATGACAAATCCAATCAGAAACACAAAACAGAACCATTTCCGTCTCGAAAAGTCGATGACGTTCTTAATCGACTTCCGCAGCGTCAGCGCGTCTTTCTGCTCTTCCTTTCGAAAAATTTCTAAGTCCGTGTCTGAAAAGGGACTCTCATCGTCAAAAGCAACAGCGCTCTCCGGAATAACTTGAGTGAGTAACTTCTCGTCGTTTGTCAAGAACGGCTGGTCCATCATAAAAGTGTGATTTTGAAGTTCAACTTGTTTTTCAGTTCAAAACATTTTTGGTGAACATCAGATTGTTGAAGCTAATTATTAACATTATAATTTCAATTAACGAGTAATTCTTTTAAAAATACAAAAATTGTGGATGATGCGTTAATTATTATAACTATATAATGTAAATCATTAAATAAAAAAGAAACGTTAATTAAATAAAAAATAAATAAAAATAATGTGTTAAATTGTTGCGAGCAAGGTTTGAGTAGATGAGAAGATATAAAAAAATGGAATGACAAACTGGAAAAAGAGAGCGATGGAGGAAATTGATGAAATAGAAAAGTCCATCCAAGACGTTGTTAAACTAATCGATCAGTCATTGCCAAACCTTCAAGAGCGCACAGAGAACTTCCGTGTTGTGATTGAAAAAGCCTCTCAAAATGCGTCTTCGATCAATATGGAGATTAAACGGATCGAACGAACACAAACACGCATTTCACAGGTTTTGGACACACTTTTGAAAGCCAAAGAGCAACGTTCTGTTCTACAAAAATGTAAAGACGCTTTTCGTGCGAAAGACTTTGATAACACCGTTCGGCATTTCATTCAGCTGAAGAGTTATGGCACCAACTGCAGTCGGCTGATGAATGACGAGATCTCGGTGTTAGAAAAAACGATTCGAACTGAATTTTCAAGTGGATTGAAAGGCGCGACGGAGAAAGGGGATATGAAACAGACTCTGCGATACACTGATTTGTTGATGAGAATTGGATTTGAGGATGAAGGGTTACAACAATACGTTTTGTATTATACCGGACTTATTAATAACGAAGCTTCTTCGATTAAAGAGAAGTTACTTCGACTTGACATCGCGACGATAAAGACAAACGCAGTCTTTGCAGAGTCCGTGAAGGGGTTTGCTGATTTTTCTTTAAAACTTGTGATGCGGCAAAGTGCAATTAAAGCGGAGGAAATATTTAAACCTGACATCATGTATACCATTGTATCTAAGATGTACAGCGAGATCAGTACCTCAATGTTGATGCTGTTAAATACGTTCTCCACTGTGAGGAGAATCAACGCATTGCAACAGGTCAAACCCAAAGATATGAGTGAGCAAGAGGTGATCATAGTGCTTGACGAGATGTCGATGATCAGTTCTGTTTTTGTGGTTTGCAAAATGAAAATGGAAGAGTATCTTGGTAACATCAAAGCAAGTGAAGAAGTTAAAAAGAAGCCAGTTGACAGTTTGGTGAAAGTGGTTAATGAAATGGAGAAGGCGATGAACACTTTTATGATCATTCAAGAGAATTACATTACAATGATGTTCTCGAAGAACATCAAAGAAAAGGTAAAAATTGGGGAGTACAGCGAAGTGCTTGACTTGATATTCTACGAACTCCAACAAAGTGCAAATCGTGTTGTAATCAGTGGTTCCTTCCAGACGAGTTGTGCGGTCTTGAATTTGATAGTCACGACAATTAAAACGTATTTACTCAACATGACAAAACAGGTGGTCCGTGATAACACAAGTTTCAACAACGTCAAGTCTTCTGACGTCCTCAAAAAAGTCGACGATTGCAAATTGAAGATACAAAAGTTGCATTCTTCGATATCAGTGCGAATGAACGACATGTGGAGAAACAACGAGAAGAGTTTGGAGATGATCAACATCGGGTTAGACGAATTACTTGACACGCAATTACTATTTGACGCACTCAAAGCTTAATTGAATATCTTCGTCTTTACATTATCATCAACTTGATACCCAGAACCAATGAGTGTAAATACAAAAATGAAGAACAACACAAAAATTAAAAAATTCGATCAGTTCAATGGCATGAGGATCATTGGGGTGACTTTAGCCTCGTGCTCCTTGTAGACTTGGTAAGCGATCTTGTCGATGTCTTTTCTTCCTTCCTTAGTGGCGGCTCTTCCCTTGGCGATCTTTTCGATGATGCCCATCTTAGTGAGTTGGTTGAGGATGTATCTGTTGACCTTTTGAGAGCCGTTTGTACGCTTGGTTGGGGTCAAATGGCCACCCTTCTGTCCTCCATAAATTCTGCAGATGTCGGTGATTCCAAGTCCTTGGTTCAAGTAGACTTGTCTAGCGATAGCAGCAGCTCTGATGTACATCCAGTCTGGGTTCAATGGGGCGAGTTCCTTAGTGACGCCGGTCTTGACCAAATCGACCCACTCTGGGATTTCCAATTTGCCTCCCTTCTTCAAATGGTCAGCGTATGCCTTAATGAATTCGTGTGCCTCGACGTCTTTGATTGAGCTGAAGTGGTGCATATGACCTGATCAAATGGTAGGGTTCTTTTTGGAGTTCCTAAGCCTGGCGTGAACTATATGTTTCTATAATTTTACCATTCCAACTACTATTTCTCAATGAGCATGTATAGTATCCTAATTAATAAACTCTATTATACAAGGTAGTAATTCTTAGTCCTCGAAAAAGGGTTTTAGGTTTGTGAAACTGGAAAAGTAATTGTAACGATGGCCACACAGAAAGCGGAAGTTACAATTAGAACCAGAAACTTGTTAGTCAACCCGTTGTTGAATCGTAAGCAGGTGATCGTCGACGTCTACCACCCAGGAGTGGTTCAGCCAAAGTCCCAACAAATCAGAGAGATGGTTGCCAAGGTTTTCAAAGTCAAGGACCCACAAACCATCGTGTTGTCCGGTTTCATGTCCAAGTTCGGAGGAGGAAAAACCACCGGTTTCGCTATGATCTATGACACTTTGACTTCAATGAAGAGATACTCAGCCAAATACGTCCTCATCAAGGCTGGTATGGAAAAGAAGACTAAGGCTCCAAGAAAGCAAAGAAAGGAGATTAAGAAGAAGTGGAGAATGTGCCACTCCCTCAAGGACTATAAGCGTAAAGAGATGAAGAAGGCTTCTCGTAAGAAAAAATAAGTAAGCTATTTGGTTCTTTTTTTAGTATAATGTGTTATTCTTTTACTATATCCTCTGTTCTTCAAAATATATTAACGTTGTAAATAAATTAGCGTAGTACGAAATCGCGTCGTTTGTCCACATGAACATTTCCATCAAGTCTTAATTTAACAATCTGTTTTTAATTAGCGAAATGGACGAGGTGAACTATACGGATTATAAAAAAAAGCTAGGGATATAGTAAAACAAGTGATTGAAACCCTAAATTCGGAAACAAATCGAATTAACCCAATACCCATTAGATCATAGTTCTGAGGAGCTTGTTGATCATAGTTTCACGATTACCAAAAGCGCCGCCCAAGATGAAGTGGATCTTCTTGTTCTTTCTAGCGAGTTTACCCTTCTGGTTGTTCAATTTGAAAGGAGCCAAAGCCGAGTTGACGAGCTTGAAGTTCTTTCCGACGGTGAAGATCTCGTGGACGATATCTTCGACACAAACGATATCAGCTCTCTTGTCAAAGACTTTTTTGACTAACTCGTTTGAAGTGATTTTCTGTCTGTCGCCCTTCATCTTCAAAGCGCCTCTAGCGTAGATAAGGTCAGAAACAGTCTTCAATGATGGATATCCGTAAGTGATGTATGGCTCGACGATTTTCAACATCTTAAGTGTCGAAGCATTTGCGCGAATGAAGACGGCGTTGTTGATTTGTCTCAATTTCAACAATTTGAGTGTCTTTCTAATCTTTGGGGAGACGTTGTTAATACCTCTGATTCTGATCGCAACAATCAATTTCTGTTCCGCTTCGGCATACAAATCACCGTTGATCATCGCTTCCTTCTTGGCCTTAGCAATGGCTCTGTCCTTGGTGAGTCTCTCTTTGCGATGTGCGATGGCTCGCTTCACTAACTCAACACGAATCGCCTTGATTTCTTCGTGGCGTTTCTTCTCAATCTCGGCCTTGGTCGGCTTCTTAGCAGCAACGGCTTGTCTTTGGTCGGCGGTGGATACTTTCCCTTCCATGAAAGCTACACTATCAACCCTTCAAGAGTTCAAGTTTCAAGGGTTTTGTTCCAGTCTTAAGAACTCTCTTTAGTTCTTTTGTAATTAGTTTTACTATAGGTTTTAGCTCGTTATTTCTTTTATTTTTTGTATTTTGCATGTTTTTTATGGATTTATGCGGGATGTATATTGTATTATTTTTTATTAGAATGTGAATTAGTTGGAATTATTTTATAATAAATTTATTATAACAAAATGGTTTGTTGATATTATTAAAATATAGTATATAATCATTAACATTTTTAATACCATTTATAAAAAAAAATTGCATTAAAATTTTTATTGTGATAAAAATAGAAAATAACCAACAGTTTATGAAAAGTAATTTTGTGGAATGATGCAATGGTAATTACATAGATTACAATAACAACCCATATTGATATAAAATAATGGGAAGTTATTTAAACCAAAAATTTAATTTTGATAAACCAAAAAATAATCGATGAATGATAATGGAATTCTACAAAACACAAATGCATATGTGTCTTTTCTAGTGTGGTACAAATTTATTTAATATTTTAATGGTATGTTTTTAATAAATTTATTACATTTATAATAGTTTAATATATTCATAAATAGTGGTAAAAGTAATACATTAATGGGCTAAATTATCCCATAAGTCTTTTTTTTTACCAAAAAAATTCATATCAATCGAACAAAAAAGTCAGCTACCCAAAAATGCCGAGTATAGTAATCAAATAGTAAAATAACCATATTTTAACTCGATCAAAAAACAGTGTTACTTTCCTTGCAGCAAAATTTCTTCTTTTTGTTTTCCACAATTCGCATTCAGAAGTAAATAAGATCGAATGACCATCGACAGCAGTATTTCATCTTGAATTCGGCATTTTCAGAGCTTATTGGAGTCCACTATAAATAATGAGACATGAAACACACAAAAATCGAAATATGCCGGCCTTGATCGTTCTACTTCCCAAAAATGCTATAAATAAAACAATAAGCAATAGTTAAATACTAATACATCAATAGTTTCAATAACATACTCCAGACGAGACGACGAATTGGAGGCTGATGGGGATTAAATAAAAATCTGTGAACTTATTTGTTGGATGTCGAAGCGCTACAAGGAGGAGCGCGACTATCAATCCCTTGTCCGCGCAGTTTGTATAGTATTATTAAACCAATATGGCAACGTGGAAGTGAAGAGGAAGAGTAAAAAGGGGAGTGTAGCATTACCATTTCTTCGCATCGGGCGGCTTCAATTTTCCGAGAACGATTGTCTTAATGTGAAAGACTTTGTCAAAAAGAGAGTGCAAATACAATGGAATCTTGACATTGAAAATCAAATGAATGAGACAACGGCGCTCTGTAGGAAGAAAAAGAACGCGATTGGGGAGTCGATTAATTTTGTCGTTGACCTTCTGGGTGAGCTTGGATTTCGGTTTAAAGCAAAGGTGTCGAGTGGGAGGAATAACACAATGAAGGTCGACCGAGTCCTGGAAATAGAGAAACAGGGATTGGTTCTCACCAAGCAGCGGATCATTGACATTGGGCTATGTGTATGTGACTTCATTGTTAAAAAAACAGGCGAAGAAAAATTTGTTGTCTTCCCCAAAAATGATCTCATCCTTCAAAAATTTATGGAAGTTGCGACAAAATAAAACTTGAATATATTGTGCGATCACAAAAAAAGATTCTCATGTAATAACACAAGAAAGAATGGTTCTACTTTGAGGTCTTTCATCGACTTCAATGGAATTCTTGGTTGGAACTTTTCACTTTGGTCTCAATTGTATTTTACTGTGGTTTTATGTTTTTATTTTGTGTGTGATCGAATTTATGTTTCTCTCAAAACGTAATTCTTCCCAATTTTAAAAACAAATTGGAGAATTGCGACAAAATTTTGTTCATTTTTTGTCGCAATGTCTTATTAAAAACTTTGAAAAGTTTTTTTTTCAAATTAATTTTTTATTAATATAACTATTATAAAAGAAAAATATGTTCAATACGAAAATAATCATTCAAAAAAGATATTTAAAATTAAAAAATTATAAAATAATAATAACAAATAAATTAATAGTTTATTAATAGTTTATTAATAATAAATAAAAACGAAATATATTCAACAAAAAAGTTGGTTTATTTACATAATAATGGCTTCTCTAAAATTTTGTTTTAAAAATGTTATAAATAAAAAAAAAATATACAGTAAAAATTCTATCGGTGTCTAGGCGACTTTTGATTGGTCAAAACCACACACCGATAGAATTATTACTGTAAAGTGACTTCCCCAAGGTGTGCAAGTTAAAATTTTTAGTCTTTTTTACAGGGAAAGGGCGTGCAAGACTAAATTTTAGTTGAAAAACATTTTATTAAAAAATGTTATTCGTTTCCAAATTGTTTCACAAAACACACAACCCTTTGGTGCTTGAATTAATAAACTACAAAAAGCAAATTAATTAATAAAAATTGGGTTATGGTTTGTCTATGTGTTTAATGTAAAAACAATTTTGTTTCAAGACGTGAATAAATGTCGATGTCTCTTGTGTCAGCGTAATTCAAAGTGACAAGAAAAGGTGTAATAAACTTTATGTTTTTCTCTGTGCCATTTTATAGCAAACAATAACAAATAGTCTGTTTAATAGGTGCAGTTCATTGTCTCAAATCGATGTGCACTGTTGTCCAGAACTGGTCCTTCGATAATTTCCATTGGGTCGCTTTCCCGAAATTGTTGCTTAATTTATTGTATTCGAAGTGTGAAAGTTAAAAATTGCAACGTCACAAGGTGTGCAAGTTAAAGTATAGTTTAGTAAT